CCCACTGTCCTCCAGTCTCAGCTCCTTCACTGTTAGATTGAAGTCAGGGCTCAGCTGCAGTCGTCCTTTGAACTGAGCATGAAGATTTTCTTTTGCTTGCCCACTGGGCATTTCAGCTATGATCCTTCCATTAAACCTCCATTTCAGAAAGTCAAAGTCTTCTACTTTCAGTCTCCCCAGGGCTGAAGGCAGCTCCACTGTCCCTCCCACGCCGCCATTTACTGTTAGATCAACAGCAACACAAACACCTGCAATAAGAAGCAAAGCACTGAATTCTGATTCTGACACTGAGCAGAAGCATAAGCAAGTCTTGTACTTTCACTGCTGGAAATAAAAAAATTAGCTATTAATCTGATATCACTCTAGAGGTGCTTGTACTGTACTGCCCATGCAGCATATGAGGCTGACACAAACGTACATTTCTCCAGCATTCTTCTGTTTTTTATACATTTGCAGAGTTTAAAGACGGTTAGTAGAGACACTTAATATATTACCTACTAGTCAGGGACGTCAGAAGCATTTTGAATGTGGGGGGGACACACTGGCATAAAACTAATATTTTATGTTAAATGTGGGGGGTTCAAATGAATAATTATGAAATGTGAGGGGGACACGTCCCCCTTATATTTAATGGCGACGATGCCCATGCTACTAGTAATAATTCTTATTACAATTTCCATCATATTTAAAATATTTTGTTCCTTTTGAGAAAATGCCATGACTTCCACAATGTATATAATTCACATATGAAGCAATAAATTTTATGTAACTCTTGATTCCACAGTATCTTTAATTTTTGCATCTTACCCTGGTCATGAAACAAACTGGTCTAAAAGTGCTTAGAAAGTATTTTTATAATACAACAATGAACTGATAAAAAGCAATGTACAGTCGACCCTTCTACATTGCAGGGGTTAGGGGTGCAGGCCTCCCATGACCTGGAAAATCTGCAAAACAGTTTTTGGTCTCCTTGGCGAGTGAAGAAAAGCAAAAAAACATACGATAAAAAATACAATACAAAAATCACTGCGAGATATCATGTGAAGCTGCCATAAACACGGTTAGCATCCTCCAACATACCAGGGTGTGTACTCAAGGAACTGAGGCACGTTCTTACAAAGCATAATATCTCCCTGAGGCAAGCCCCTGTGCTTCAAGGCCACTACTATTGCACCACTGCAAAAAAAGTCACCAGTATCAACACCCAATGACTACCACCCTAGAGTACTTATTGCCATCATGATGAAGTGCTTTGAGAGGCTGATCAATGACCATATAACATCCAGACTCAACACATTTGACCCACTTCAATTTGCATATCGTCCTAACTGTTCCACTGACAATGCCATACTGGCAGCACTCCACCTGAAAATAGTACAACTGGAGAACAGGAATAGTTATGTGCAGCTGCTCTTCGTTGACTTTAGCTGCACCTCTAATACCGTCAAACTCCTGCACTTGGTAAGAAAACTTGACCCACTAGAAATCAACACCCCGCTATGCAACTAGACTTCCTCACAGACCCACTCCAAACAGTACATGGTACAAAAAGACCAACACCATAAATACTGGGGTCCCCCAGTATGACACAACAGTGGTGGGCCTCATCAGCAATCATGACGACTCAGCCTACAAAGAACAACTGGATCAACTCATTGTCTGGTGTGACAACAACAACCTGCCATTGAATGTCAATAAGATGAAGGAGATCATTATTAACTTCAGGTGGAAGCACATAGCACATACTTCATTTATAATTCATGCCAACACTGTAGAGTCAGTAAAAAGCACCAAGTTTCTGCGCATGCATATCACAGATGACCTGACATGGACTACAAACACCATCGCCCTTGTCAAGAGGACATAGCAGCACCTTCACTTTCTATGGTGGATGAGGAGAGCAAACCTCCCCCCTTCTGTCCTCACAACATTCTACTTAAGCGCTATAGAGGGCATCTTGACCAGCAGCCTCTCTGTCTGGTATGGCAGCTGATATCAGCTCATAAAACAAAGAGCTGAAAAATCCAGGAAAGCAAGCAGGAGATCGCTCATGCACTCACTATGGTGGGATACACAATATTTCCCAGCCAGGTACCCTTAAACTGTGTCAACTGGTCCAGTTGATGAGTTACACCATTAAAAAAATTCTGATACAGGTATTACCTACTTTACCAACATTTGCTTTACACCACTTCGCACCTGTCTTCATTAAGTGTTTGGCATTTGTTTATCAGCGAGTTAATTATAGATATACAGTCATATGTCGCATAACGTTTTGGTCAACGACAGACTGCATATACGATGGTGGTCCCTTAAGATTATAACGGAGCTGAAAAATTCCTATCGCACAGCGACATCATAACCATTGTAATGTCAAAGAGCAACGCAATAGAAACATATTTGTGGTGATGCTGCTGTAAACAAATCTACTGCATTACCAGTAGTATAAAAGTATAAATTGTACATAATACCTGATAATCATAATTATTTTGTTACTAGCTTATGTATTGACTATACTGTATTTTTTATTTGTAATTTATTCTAATCCATATAGTAGGCTATACTAACTACATTTGTTTAAGTAGGCCTACTGTCTGTGATGTTATCACAATAACAAAATCACCTAATCACCAAATCACCTCTCAGAACGTATCCTTGTCATTAAGCAACACATAACTATTGATTCTGGTAAGTGAAATTGCACTGTGCACACTTTATATAGGCTGTGTAATTATCACATAAATTCTGCTTGTACTAAAGGCCAGGCCCTTTGTTAATTTTAATTTAGGTTTTATGTGTTATTTGGTATATTTTGGAGTGTTATTTTTTGGGTCAGGAAACGCTAAAAAAAATTCTGCTATAAATTATTGGTAATTGCTTCTTTGCTTTATGTCATTTGAGCTTATAGGAACACTCTGCTTTTGGAAAAACCTGTATTCATCAGTTCAAGATAACTTGATGTCCTGGTCACACCAGTTTTAGATCAATATTAGCCTACAATACAGTTAACATGCAACTATTCATGTTGGCTGTAGCTCTAATGATCAGTTTTCAGTTAAGATAGCATTATAACCCCCACTAAAGAAATACCCAAATGTACTAGGCAATATAGTTTGTAAATTGTAAAAAATGAACAGGTTTCCTCTGTTGGATAGCACAACCTAGTCTGGGTTACTGAGCTAATTAATAAGCTTGGTTGTTTGCTACCTATGTTACATCTATGTAACTGTTTCCCACTCCTTCACAGAGAATTTTATGACATTTGTGCATTTTCCAATATGTTACTCTTAGTCAAACTCCCATTAAAGTTTTTTTTTTAAATGTGTCTTCATAGCCAGACATAATGGGGCTTTATCACCCAATCAGTTGTACTTTTGACCATGATGTACACTGAGTACTTGCTTTAGATATGCTACTTTTAGTATTTTACAACACAATGTCAACTACACAAACATACAAATTTTACTACTACAAGTTCAGTACCACCTGCTACCACCACAGTCACTTATTATATATATGTATATATATGTATGTTATATATATGTATACAGTATATCAATAACATACAGGACACATACAAAATTCTCCATGAAATGTGTAGACCAGCTCAAAATACAACCAAGAAATTGCAATTATATCAAAAAAGTCACAACATTCCAGCTTTTCTAGTTTAAGAAGATAAGAAATTACCAAACATTTATATGTTTCTCTTATCCTATCAACAAGTAACAGTTGCCAATATACCTGTTTCCACAAGAATTATAATTAAAAGCAGTTTAAAACTTACCAGAAATTAGTAGGAGACGTGTTAAGATGAGCATTACTGCATGTCACTACAGTGAACCGTTTCCTGCACTTTTCTGCAAGCTGTGGTATCTAGTGATCAACACAAAAAAGCTACTTCCTTGTCTGACAGCAAAGGCTTAAAAATACTGACCTATAAATACCAGCAGGAAGGTATTAGTATTCCTCCATTGCTGCTTTTGATTCTCTAATGTGTATTTCTTAATGGAAATTCAATAACCGATTATTTCTATAAACCTCTGTTTCTCGTGCACAGCCTGTACATTTTCAATAGAATGACAGTAAAATGGGAGTAAGGGAGATTTTTCTTTTTCAACAGCATGTGGCATTATGATCATGATTTCCATTGTTATAGGAAAAATAGTTTTCTGCAGAAGTTACAATGTGAGAGATGTTTCTGTGTGTTTCCCTGTAAGTGTTAGCAGAGCCACGTCTCAGCAGCATAATTCACCTTAGACCCCCTAACAGAAACTGTATATAATCACTAAGATCTAGCAACATGAATGGCGTGCCTGCAGTAGACCCCTGAACAGACTCTGTGGCTGACCCACACATCTGGTATCACTTCCTGTGACTTGCTGATGGGAACTGTCGAAAGATGCATTTCTTGCAACACACAATGTACATGTTCAAGTGTAATAGCATGCAGCCCAGAGTGAGTCAGAAACATGACTGTATATAATGGTAGAATAAAAAATGACATATAATATTCAGATCATATGACAGTTCTAATTACCTGTATGGCTTAAAAATTGAGTTATTACTATTTGTAGTAGGGAGTTTGTGGGTCATTTTACAACAAATCTGTAGGAAATTATACAGCTCTTTTAAAACGGAAGTTCTGCTTTTTAATGCCAGCCCACTACCAATGTTAAACTAACAGTAGGAAAGACACGGAAGCCAACAATTCACACTAATACTCGTGATGAGATACTAATGAAAATTCATGCACTCCACCGTAAAACATTACATGGTCAATAACACTTACTATGTACAGTACAACGTAAATTCACAGGTACAAACTTTAACTGCAAATGCTGTGTATTTGTTCTGTAAATGTTTCTCAACATTACACTTTTTTTCTGGAGTGGAGTGTAACTTCTGGAGGCTGTGTGTCACTCCCCCGGTCCTCTGTAATGGCTGACCAGCTTGGGTGGTCACTCCTTCATGTGGATGGGGCAGTACATCTAAACTGAGCCCCTAGTGCCAATTTTTGGCCCCTGACTGCGAACATTGTAGATGTGCTTACAGTATGTCAGACAGTTGATGTGCCTTGCTGCTGTTGATCCAACCTGTGCACACCCCTCAGACGCTCCCAGTGGCAACACAGGTATTCCATACCTGGCAGAGAGAATGCCTGGCAGTATGAGCTAGAGCTTAGTGTGTGATGACATCACAAGTGGGCAGGGCTTATATTGTGTTCCTTCGTGAGCTAGATCTCCCCCCAAATCCCTCCCACCCCCCACATCCCCTCATTGCAAACAACAGGTGCAAATAGTTGCATTAGTTTAAAGGGGGTAGTCACGCTGCCCCCCTTCATGAGAACAGCCACGCTGCATGTACAGTATGCACTCATGCCCCCCACAACTTATGGGTACACACCCCCATAATGCAAAGACCTGGTTTAAATAGTTTTAAGGAACAAAAACTTTAGCAGGATGACTGTGTCCCCTCACATGTGTCCCGACATCCTGTAATGGTTCGTCAGACCACAGTAGTTTTAAGAAATAAAAACATTTTCGTCGGATGAATTTAAACACTTTAAGCTTGCTCCAGTCGCATCGATTGCCTTGTCACAAATGAACAGGACATAGTTAGAGTTCAGCTGTACCTCACCTCTTAGCTAATACTAATATGGCAACCAAACAGCCGAGTTCTTCAGCGCTCACCCAACCGGGAATCACATGGAGTTTGGCACTTCCTGATGCCAGGACTCTGTTGAATCCCACATGGGCGCTACACTGACCAACAAGGCATGCTCTGGGTAACAGATTTTTGCATTTCAATTCCATCAGGATAAATTTAGAGAATAAATTTGAAGGGGTCTGTACGTGGGTGACAGCACTGACCTCAGGGGTTTCCTCTGATGTGCTTGAGGACCTGTAATTAAGAATGAGCAGCGGTGTGGTGGAGCGGGAGGTATGAATGAGAGAGGGTGTGTCTTGAGGATATTGTTGATGCTGATAATGTAGATTAAAAGCAACGTGTAGTTAATTTTTTTATTCTACCCTTTTGCTTACTATCGTGTCTGTGTGTCTCTGAAAATGGTGTCCCGTCCTGGGGTGTTCTCTGCCTTGTGCCTGTGGTCTCCGGGTTAATGTGTTATCTTAAATAAGCACAAAATAAGTTTTAAGAAAGAAAACACTTAAACTCTTTTTGTTTATGTGTTATTTTAAAATAAGTATAAAACATTTAAGTTTTAAGGAATAAAAAACGCTAACTATTTTAGTTGTTTCCTTGCCACAATTGTTTAAAAACTATTTTAGAGGTCAGCAACCAACGGCTGCTGTGGCTCCATGTGTGGCCCCCTGTAGCATTGAAAAAATGATGTAAGTAAATAATGGCTATTTCATTTTATTATGATATAATTTTTTTCCCAATGAAATTCTTCTTATTTTGGAGGTGATCTTGTAACATTAAAATAAAAAGTGTTTTAATTTTTTGTTGATCAAAATATATGCATCACATTCTATATGTGTCACCGGTCGCCACCTGCCAGGTGACTAATTTTGAATTTTCGGCCCCTGCTGAGCTAAACATGCATAATTCCAAAAAAAGAATAGTTTTGTAAGAAATAGAACGTTGAATTCTGCGTGGACAAAGTCCTTTGCTTCCACTGCCAATGATGCTGGCTTACCAGTATGCTTGATATGCAGTGAGAAATTAGCAAACAAAAAAAAGTGTAATGTTGAGAAACATTTACAAAACAAATACTCAGCATTTGCTGAAAAGTGCCAAGCTGGAGATGAAGGAAAAACAGCAGCTTTGGAACTTCTGCTAAAAGCTGATCAGAGCAAACATACTTTGAGAAAGTGGATCAAATCTACAAACTTAACTACTACTGCTAGTTTTGTGGAGAGATAGAAGCAAGGGAAATGGAGGTGGTAGTATGTGGAACACAATTGTATTGAGGCTACAGTGCGGTGCTTGATGAGGCCCCCATAGAGTCTGGCTGCTGATCCACTGAGAGGCACATCCACTCACAGACAGGATGTCCAGTGTGGTGCCCATAGCGTTTTTTTTTTTAAATATATTCTATATGCTGGATTTTTCACTATCTGCTGCTTTATGTATAATCAATAATGTGCACTATTTGACAAGCCATTTGTACAGTTCTTTTTTCAAAAGAGAGAAAGTACTAGGCACTTTGAGAATAAAAATACATTATCCGTATTTGTTAATGTTCGATTATAAATACGTTTTAAGTAATAAAAAACTTTAACAGGATGGATTTAAGCATTGTAACCCGCATATATGTCAGGCATCCTATAATGAAGTAAAACTTTTAGCAGGATGATTTTAAACACATTAACTAATCAATCTGTTATTTTTAGAAACGAAGGGGATTGGGCAAAAGCCTGGGGGTCGAGTTGAGGTACTGGTATGATCTAATTGTGCATCATCCTCAAGGCACACAGGCATCTGGTTTTTGCTTCCAGCACAGCATCTCTTGAGCCACACAGATGAAACCTGTCTTCCAATGATGTCCTACATTTGTATTATCATTATTTGTATTATCATATTTCATGATTTATAACACAAGAAAAAGAGGTTATTGGGCAAAAAAATAATCATCACAAATACAAAATCTTAACGAACAAAACTATTAGACAACATACAAGAAGACAAGCCTCTACTCCTCGTTGGGTAATGATCTGGTGAAGCATCTTTTCACTGTTCTGTACCCAGGAAGCCCTGACAAGTTCAACCTCCCTGCTGGTCTTCACCCGGCATTCTACATGTGACCAAAACCTGTTTCATCACAGAGAATGTGGATTTAATTCTATAATATATTTCACTGTAAAACACTATGCTTGTTATACATACTATACTGCCAACATACATATACAGTTAGCAGTTGTGTTGTTGTTGTTGTTATGGTTATAGTTGCCTTCCCATTTGTGTCTTGTATGTTTATCTGTGTGTCTGATATAAACCCTGTTTGATCCTCGCGTGTCTCTAGTTATTGTGTAAATTACGCTTCAGATGTGTAGCCTTCCCAACTGCTCATTGGGTGCTTGTTACAGTACAGAATAAAGAGTGTGTTCTGTCTCCTTGTCCTTCGCTGCTCTTGCGATGCCTCGGTCCACCTGGTGCTACACTGGTGTCAGAAGTGGGATCCCGGAAGCGATCCCACTGGCACGGCTGTTGCAGGTGCTGAGTGACATCATCATCCAGCAAGCCTGCTCCAGCCTGGTGGACCTTGAGGCAGCTAAGAAGCGGCGGCATGCAGGGAGGACGATGAGGGACGCAAAGCCCATCTGCCGGTGCTGCTGGAGAGAAGGGCACCGGGTACGCTATTGCCTGGAAACCCTCACCAGAGCCGCTGGCAGTTCAAGCAGGAGGCACCAAAGTGAGGAAGGTGCCCCCACCTCCATCCAGGATGCACTGCACCCACACAGCGTGCCCTGATGCTGTTCCTGCCCGCCCACCAAACTCGCATGTGCCGTGGCGCCACCCCAGCTGCACGTATGAGCAGGCAGAGGCTGCTCTGGGTGAGCATGAGGAGGCATGCCGCAGCTGGGAGGCCTCAACGGGTTCTCATCAAGCGCAAGCAAGAATATCGGCAGAGGTTCTTTGCAGCCTTTGCGATTTTCCTAAAACGTTCAACTCAGTTGATCGAGTTGCTCTGTGGAACATCCCGAGACTTCGCGGGATCACCCCAAAGTTTCTGGACATCATAGCCAGCTTATACACTGGTACTGTGAGTGCTGTGCAGAGTGGAGAGAGAACCTCTGCATTCTTCCCAGTTGATTCTGGGGTTCAACAGGGGTGTGTTCTCGCTCCTACTCTGTTCAGTGCTTGTGGATCCAAGTGGCTGGACCAGGCTAAGGGGGCGCACA